CAGCTGAAGGTCACCAGCTGTATTAGTCCCTAACAAGAGTCAGCTTGTCCGTTGAAACTTTGAAGGCAGGCATTGACTTCTCCTCTCTAGTTAATGAAAGTCCTAGATAACATCTTCCAATGCAAGGCTGTTTCATGTGCACTGAAAATTTGTTGTTTAGTGTAGACACACCAATTATTTTAGTTAGATCTTCTGGAAAACTTGCTTCAGCTTCTTTATCAATGCTTACATCTTCACTTTGCACTTTTATGTAAGGGAGATGGTTTATTTCCTGAATCCTCATGAACCAACCTCTGCTAGCTTCAAACTTTTCTTCTGCAGCTTCCTCACCTCTCTCAGGCTTCATAGAACTGGAGAGAATTAGGACCATTCTCTGGATTAGACTTTGGCTTAAGGAAATGTTGTGGCTGATTTGATCTATCCAGACCTCTAAAACTTTTTCCATATCACTTTCTTATCATTTGTGTTTTCACTGGAGTGGCACTTTTAATTTTCTTTAAGAACCTTTTCTTTGCATTCACAACTTCATTAACTGTTAGTGAATTGCATTTATTAACTGCTTGGTGAAAGAGTCCTAGCTTTCAGCCTATCTCAGCTTTTAACATGCCTTCCTCACCGAACTTAATCATTCCTAATAATTAATAAACACGGGAGGTGAAGGTTGCAGGGAGCTGAGATTGTGCCACTGCACTCCAGCCTGGGCGACAAGAGTGAGACTCTGTCTCTAATAATAACAATAATAATAATAATAATAATAATAATTCTACCTTCTGATTTAAAGTGACAGACATGTGGCTCTTCCTTTCACTTGAACAATTAGAGGTCATTGTAGGGTTATTCATTAGCCTAATTTCAATATCATCGTGTCTCAGGGAACAGGAAGGCCCGAGGAGAGAAGAGAGATGAGGGAATGGTCAATCAGTGGAGCAGTCAGAATACACCCAAAATTTATTGATGGAGTTCTCCATTTTATATGGGCATGGTTTGTGGCAACTCCAAGCAATTATGATAGTAATATCAAAGATCACTGATTACAGAACACAATAGCAGATATAATAATAATGAAGATTTAAAGTATTTTGTGAGGATTACCAAAATGTGACACAGAGACACAAAGTGAGCACATGCTTTTGGAAAATTGGCGTTGACAGACTTGCTCAATGCAGGTTTGCCATGAACCTTCAATTTGTGAAAAATACAGTATCTGTGAAGGACAATAAAGCAAAGCATAAAAAAACAAGGTAGGCCTGTACACAATTCAATAATTGTTAGTTTATTCACAGAGCTGGGCAACCATCATCATAGTTAATTTTAGAAAAATTTCACCAACCCGACAAGAAAATCTAAATGTATTATTAGCATACACTTCTCATTTCCTTCCAATCTCCCCCACGCCTAACCTTGGGCATACAACTAAACTACTTTCTGTCTCTATAGATTTTAGCATTCTGGACATTTCCTACATATAGAATTTGTATAAGTTATAGGCTTTGTTTGGTGACTGACCTCTTTCACTCAGCACAATGTTTTTAAGGTTCATTCATGTTGTAGCATCTAAAATACTTCATTTTAAAACTGATGATCAACTAATATTCCATTGTATAGATAAAGGACATTTTCTTTATCTTTTCTTCTGTTGAAGTACATTTGAGTTGTTTCTACTTTTAGGCTATTATGGATAATGCTGGAATATTCACGTGCAAGTTTTAAAAAAATGTATGTTTTTGTTTCTCTTTTGGGTATATGCTAGGTCATATGATAGCTCTATGTCTAACATTTTGAGAAACTGTCAGATTGTTTTCCAACATGGCTCTGCCATTTTGCTCTCCCATCATCAGTGGTATAAAGGTTCAATTACTCCACATTCTCACCAATATTTATATTTCTGTTCTTTAGATTGTAGCCATCTAGGTGGATATAAGGAGTTATTCCATTGTGATTTTGATTTACATTTCCCTAATGGTTTATGATGTTGACAATCTTTTTATGTCATTTTTGGCCATTTGTATATCTTCTTTGGAGAAATGTCTATTCAAATCTTTTGCCCACTTTTAATTGGATTATTTGTCTTTTTATTATAAAGTTGTAAGAATTCTTCATATATTTTACAGAGAAGTCCCTTATTAGATATATGACTTCCACATCTTTTCCCCACCATTTTCTGGTTGTTTTTCCACTTTGTGATTGTGTTTTTGAAGTAAAAGTTTTTAATTTTCATGAAGTCCAACTTACCTATTTTTTTCTTTTGTTGTTCGTGCTTTTGGTGTCATATCTAAAAGGCTCAGCCTAATCTACAATCATATTTACTGCTATATTTTCTTCTAAGAGTTTTACAGTTTAGCTTTTACATTTTAGTCTATTATCCATTTTGAGTTGACTTTTGTGTATGGTGTGAGGAAGGGATGGATACAACTTCATTCTTTTGCATGTGAATATGCAGTTGTCCTAAAGGGTTACCTTCTATCTATACATTAGTTTTGAGAGAATTAATGTTTTAAAAATATTGAATCATTCAATCCATGAGCATGATATAGCTCTCCATTTATTTTAGCTTTCTTGAATTTCTCTCAGGAATGTTTTTGTAGCCCTCAGTTCTATGTATATTTCATTAAATGTATTCCTAAGTTAATATTTTTTTGGTATTGTTTTAAACATTTTGATTTCTCAAAGAACTAAGAATAGAACTACCACTGTATACAACAATTTCATTACTGGATGTCTATCCAAAGGAATATAAATCATTATATTAAAAAGATATCTGCTCTTGTGTATTTATTGTAGCACTATTCACAAGAGCAAAGTTATGGAATTGACCTAGTACTGTCCTCCAATCCTTCCTCTCTGGCACAGATAAATAGGAGCAGTAATGTGAGTCAGCCATAACAGCCTTCTTAGGAGAATTATTTCTGCCTTTGGATCTACTTAGAAATAATTCTCATTTGATAAGAATTTGTCCTTCTTGCCTAAGCAAAAATTAACAAAAATTGTGATAGAAAGAATAATCATATTGCTTCACATTCCTTGCTTATTCTTATAGTCCTTATGCTGAAAATGTGCATATCTCAGTATTAGTCTCACCATTGCCGCACCTCTTCATGCTTATTTATGCAGTGCTGGGTGCTGGATGATCCTCACACCACCCTATTAGGTGGGTGATATTTTGATCTTATTTTAAAGATAATCTCCCAAGTGTGACATTGCTTTAAAAACATTTTGACTCCAAGGGAGCTTTCATTGGGTCTAAGTTTTCTCATCTTCAAACTGAGGAAGGGACCTGAATGATGATTTCCAAGGCCCGATTCACTTCTGACAACCTCAAGTGGATCCTTCACAGAATTGCAGGGATATCTCTGGGTGCAGTATCGGTCGTGGCTCTTTGAAGGGGTGATTCTCAGTGTCAGTCTGAGGGCTGAGAAAGTTCAGCCATCTCTGCTCAGTGGCCTTCTCTTGTCCTCCCCACTGCAATCTCTTTTATCCCCCACCTTCACTTTGCAAGTCTTTTCCTAGCCTGGCAGGTCAAGCACTACCTGATAAAAGTCTCAATAAAGACCTGTACTCAGAAAGGAGGAAACTACTCTCCACCCAAATCCTATTATAGCTCTGGGATTTCCCTGCCGCTCTGGAATTCACCTTCTCTGTCTCACACACACACAAATTAACATTTAATCAAGGATTTTCTATGCATTTTTCTGCTATAAACATTTCTTATGTTAATGATAGTTCCTAATCTGGTCTTAAGGACAAATTGAGGTACTTTTGAGATAATAACTAGAAAAAGAACGTAAAACCTGCTCATTATTACCAGGGAAACTCATCTTGAATTACATTGATTTCTATAATCTGATAATTCTATGGTTTCCCAGGCGAATCTCATGTTTGGGTGAAGCAAGAGAGTTTGAATCATGGTTCACAGCTTTCAGAGGTCATTTTTAGCCTTTAATATGAGGCCTCAGCAGAGAAGTAGTTTCTTGTTGTGCTTTTGAAATTCTGATCCACTCAAGTTGAAGGCCACACTTAAAAGGTAAGATTTCTGGTTGGGCATGGTGGTTTATGCCTGTAATCCCATATTTTGGAAGGTCAAAGTGGGAGGATCACTTGAGGCCAGGAGTTCAAGATCAGCCTGGGCGATATAGCAAGATCCTCTTTCTACATTTTTTTTTTTTTTTAAAGCAAAGCAAAACAAAACAAAACTAGGTGAGATTTCTGTTGAGTGTATGTAGCAACCACCTGTAGTAGAAGGCCGTCTGAGCCAGTGCTCAGTTCTCTGGACTCCAGACCCAGTTTTACTGCAAACAGTCTGTTTGCTTTTAGCAAATTCACTTTGTTTATCTGGGCCACATTTCCTCATCTCTAAATAGCTGACTTGAAAGTTATTGAATTTATTTTATTCATCAATAAATGTTGAACCTGCTTTGACTTCATTATAGATTGTGAGAATTAAGTGATAATATTTGTGGAAGAGATTTACTGTAACTCTTTGTGATGTAAGCTTTGTTATTCTTTCATGGTAGATTTACATGTTGACAACTGTTAATTCATTTTCACTATGTTCTCTAATTTGTAAAATAAAGGTGTGGAATTAAAAAACTAAAACATTCCCCATAATTGTCTCTGTCTCCTCCTCATGCAGAGATCATATCATGTCTGTACTGTTCACTGATGTATTTATTCCACGGCACATCACCGATGTGCAGGGCATGCTATATAATATGTGTCAAATAAATTTTTTTCAAAAAGGCTTATAAACATAAAATGGCTGAGCTTTCAGATAATACAGAGAATGAAGACAATTTTCTAATTTTAAATTTGTGAAGATTTGTAAAATAACGATTTCTCTTTTGGATGAGGGTCAGGTAAAATGGGCTCTCCGGGTAGATGATGGGAGTGTAAATTGGTACCAAGTTTAATTGAAAACAATTTGGTATCACGAATCTTAAAAAATGCCAAGGAAACTTATTCTTGTCAAAGAGATTCATTTGCAGTATTTATTCTGTTTAAAGTTTGTCTAGGTTCCAAACTACAGCTGACCCCAAGAAAGTCAACAACCTAGGCTTTTTAAAAGAGATACAAGACCTGGCCGAGGAAATTCATAGAATGATGAACAAGGCAAAAAACTTAAAAAGACTTTGGGCAGAAAGATCTAACACTCCAGGCAAGTAAATCTCTCATAACTGTGACACTACCCACTTGGACACAGCTTAGGGAGAGCTGTGGAGGCTGTGGGAACCCAGAATGTTTAAAAAACGCTGAACTCTTGCCTGTGCTAAGCTGTCACTGTGAGTCTTTCACAGATGAGGCCAGCACCTGTAGATGGTTGTGGAGGGTGGAGCTGCATTCTCTCTCCTCAACCCCCTGGGAAGGCACCTTGTGCCGTGCACACCCTGCACAACCTTCAAAGGGCTGCAGACCATCCTGACTTTGTCTCTACAGTTACCTTCTCACCACTCTGCCTACTCCTTTACACTCTTCGGCTGTTGTCTTCCTTTCTTGCTTTCTTATTCTGTTTTAAGAATCTGTCTCCACCTTCCCCAAACATACACACACACACACACACACACACACACACACACACACACACACAAATTCCCAATTTGTTTCTTCCTTCTTGTATATTTGGATTGGTCTTTTCCACGTAAGTAACACTTTAAGACTGGCCTTGGATGATTTATTTACTTTGAGTACAAGCCTTTTGGATTATTGGGGTGAATTATTCCCTAAACAAAAGCAATTTCTGTTCATTATAAAGAATATCCACATTATAAATGGCTTCATCTCATTTATAAATCTACAGTAGGGAAAGTTAGGATGGATAAAGATCTTAGAGAGTTTGGCTTACAAATGGAGAAGTTTGCACCTCAGAAATAGGCAGCCAGTTGCCTCTCTTCACATCCCTGAGTCATTGCCTACTGTGATATTTGTTAATAAATGGGGGCATTCAGTTAAATTTGAAATTTAAATAACAAAAATTTGTTACTATATGTATGTCCCAAATGTTACATACTTTGGTAAAAAATAATTTATTTCTAATCTGAAATTGAAATTTAATTGGAGGTGCTCCGTTTTAAATTTGCTAAATCTGATACTCTTAAGTATACAGCTCCAACTATAATTCCTATGTAATTTTTTCTTTCTTCATGGAGTATATACAAAACCATGAAATAAAGAGTTTGGCAGTAACATGAAGAATGCACTTCCCAAGGCAGATGGCATTATGTGATATTTTGAAGAGACAAAATAGCACCTTTGTCCAGGATGGGGCAGGGCTGGCCATGGCCTCCCTGAAGGCTGATTTCACAATGGACCCAAAATGTATCAACAATAGACCAGAAGGGTTTCAAACACCAAATGATGGAGTTCTTATATTACACTCTATTATGGGATCATTCTACTTGTATAAAATTTGATCTTCAAATAAGGTTTTTAACATGCTGTTGAAAACATAATCAATTTGTTTTGAGATGAAGTCCCCACTTTATTTCTAGTTTTCTATTATTTGAACCATTTTCTATGGTATATGTAACTTACAATAATCTGAAAAATTATAATTTCACTTTTTTCTCTTCAAGTTTTTCCTTCATGTTTTTCTTTTATAAAAAATTTTCATTTATTCCCTCTATCCTATCCTGAATTTTTTCAAAGCCCAGTGAAATTAGATACTAATAAAATAATAGAATACCCTTTGGCAAATTGTTGAAATTTAGTTTACCAGTTAAATTTTTTCCATGAATATACCTAGATTTGGAAATCTACTGTGATAGCTTTCTTCAGATAAATCTTATGAAGATAGATTTATTCTTCAATTTTGGTGTATTTGGCTTTTGGGCCACGGCTCTTGAATACTCCCTTTGACTTTAGAAGTAAAGTAGGCATTTAGCATGTGCTTTTTCATTGATGATTGAACTAATATCTCTTAAATCTTCTTTATTATAGATTCTTCTTATGGTTCCAGTTTTTTTACAGTAAGTATCTTAACAATAGTTTGAAAATTAGTCTTCAGAGACAGAATGGTTAAGTTTACAACACTGAGGTTTACATTCTCAAAGAATTATTTCTAATGACTTGACTTGTATAACAATTGTGTAGAAGCTGGATTTGAGAGAGCTAAGATCTTTGTAAATATGGACTAAAAGACAAGTTTGAATTTTCTGAAGCAAGGTTCTGGGCCTGTGAAAAGCAGAGGTGAAACCTGAGGCCAGCAGGTAGTGGGCGATCCACAGAGTTGCTTTGTAAGATGGCTACAGAGTCTGTCTGATCCCAGGGATGGTCTGAGATTTGTGCTTGGTACATAAGCAGTGATTCCCTCGAGGCACGAAGCCCTCAGTTAAGGCACTAGTTATCAACAGGGGATGATTTTGACCTCCAAAGGATATTTGCCAATGTCTGGATGCATTTTTGGTTGTCACAACTGTGGACCAATGGGGAGGGTAATATTAGCCTCTAGTGGGATGAGGCCAGAGATGTCACTAAGAATCTTAGAAAGCACAAGACAGCTTCTACAACAAAGAATCATCTGACCCAGAACATCAGTAGACCGACTGAGAAATCTCAAGTTAAGGTGAAACCTTGACAATATTAAAAATTCTTCCTTGCTCATATTGCAGCACCAGACATTGACTGACTGTACAAGCCTTTGTAGTAACATCGCACTAACAAGCACATGTGTCTGTATCTGTTTAATTCTAAGAAAGATTTAGATAGCTCAAAAAAAAAAAAAAATATGCCATAAAACCATTCAGAGAAAAGTAAAAGAATAGGGGCCAGCTAATGAATCCTGGAATGAAGCAGGAATGTCAGTGTATCCATTAAATAATGACACTAGCAAAGAGGATTGAACAAACACACATCTTGACTAGGAGCTTTCTGATGCAACAGGCCAAAAGGAAAATGTGGGATACACACACTCAAAGTCTTACAAATAATGAAAGAACTTAAAAATAGAATAAAGCATCATTTAAATGATTACATTAGCATTTAAAAAAGAAATTATAACACTTGATGCTTGTGATGTTGTAGCTTAGTGATATAATCTCATATGGTTGTGACAATAAAAAAAAGATATAATAATTTTTGGAAAAGCAACTTGATTTTTTTGCCCCTGTAATTGTTATGAAAATTAATGTTATGTATAATACAATAGAAATAAAAAGCTGTATGCATAAAATGTTCATTGATAATGATGGATAATTTGAATTTCCAAGATAAGGTGACCTTGATGGCCTTCTTAGTACAGTCACTTCATAGATGGTATGTGGAAAATGAGTATGTTATTAGATCAAGTGCAAAAAACAGAGGACATTATCATATCCATCGTATGTTTGTGATGTAAAAACATTTTGGTACAAGGAGTGGAAGAAAAGTGGCTACAGGAAAGCAGTTCTATTTGTTACAATGAAAGATTTCTAGGTTGCTTTTTTCTTATAGAATTCTGAAGAAGATGTTATACTGTTTGATTTTCACTGAGAGTGAAATGGCTGTCTGAATAATCTGAGCAGAGGAATGGTGGGACTTGAGTTATGTTTTCGCAGGATTTCTTTGGACATTGCATCGAGCAGAGACTGACAGTAATCACAGTGGAAGTGGGAGTCCATGTAGGGAATCAGCTCATCCTTCTGTGCAACAAATGGAGGTCTTTTAGAATAGACGCACAGTTAGTGAGGGAGGTAGTGAGATGCGATGGTGGTTTTGATATATTTTGGAGGTAAAATCAGTAGGATCTGTTGATGAATGTGAGGTAGGTTATAAGAGAAAGAGAAGAATCAAGGATGACTCTATGTGGTTTGACCTCAGTTACAGGAAAAATGGAGTGGCTGTTTACTGCGAGTGGGGAAAGACTGAAACAGGTTTTTTCCGAGGGGAGGGGAGGAGAGGGTAAAAAGGCAATCAGAAATTGATTTGGGGGATGTTAGTGAGATATCCAAGTGGCATTGCCAAGGACATTGTGGGAGTTTCCAGCTTGCAGCTGAGATAAACTCTTTTGGCTGGATACATAAATTTAGAAAGTGTTGGTGCATAAATGACACTTCAAGGCCATCAAGGGAGAGTGTGTCGACAGAGCAGAGAAAGTGGGCTGAGCACCGAGCACTTGCATTTGAAAAAGAGTGTCAGGCAAGGGGGAAGAAGGTGAGAATGTGGGGTGTCATGGAAGTCCAGGAAGGCGATTTTCTAGGAGATGGGGATAATCCATTGTCTCAAGTGTGGCTGACTGATCATGTAAGAAGAGGATGGAGAAGTGCCACTGGGAGTAGCAGCATGGAATTCATTGGTGATGTTGACAAGAAAGTCTTTGATGGAATGATGAGGGTGAAAACCTGATTGGAGTGGATTTAAAAGAGAGTAGGGGCACTCTGGGCTCGGTGGCTCATGCCTGTAATTCCAGCACTTTGGGAGGCCAAGGCAGTCCAATCACTTAAGGTCAGGAGTTCAAGACCAGCCCGGCCAACGTGGTGAAATCACTTCTCTACTAAAAATAGAAGAATGAGCCAGGCATGTAATGGTGGGTGCTTGTAATCCTGTAATCCCAGCTACTTGAGAGGCCGAGTCAGGAGAATTGCTTGAACCTGGGAGGCGGAGGATGCAGTGACCTGAGATTGTGCCACTGTACTCCAGCCTGGGTAACAGAGCAAGACTCAGTCGGAAAAAAAAAAAAAAAAAAAAGAAAAAAAAAAAAGAAAGAAAAAGAGAGAGAATGGGGCAAATAAGTGAAGACAGAGAGTGTATATGATGCAAGATGGTAGGCTGTGAAGCAGTGAAGCATGGGGTGGAAGCTGCTGGGCATTGCAGAGGTCTTTGGTGTCTGCTCCCACCCTGCTGGCTCCCTAATTTCTCCCCAGCTAAGATGGACAGTTCCCCAAGAGCTCAGACTCCTGGTCACAGGGGCAAACGTCAAACACGTGCTGAGAGTATTTTGTTTTCTGTTCTTCCCTGAAGTCAGTTCAGCTTGAGAGGGCAGGGGAGCTAACAATCCCATTGCAACCCACAGCTGGGGTGACCACCAGACTCACATTGCCTGGGACTGAGAGTCCCTTGTTCCAGAAAACATCTCAGTCCTGGGCAACTGGGGAAGGTGGGTCCAACTTTCCCCAGCAATGGGTCAATTCTGGGCAGCACCTTTGTTCCTGAGAGGTTTTGAGGATTCAAGCCAGCATGGTCTCTGCAGGCCCTTGATGGCTGCGACTTTTCCCTCTTTCCTGTCTCATTCTTTCCACCTCCTCAGCTCCTTCTTCCTGGTACCATTTCCTGAACAAGCCACCTATATACAAGTCCTTGTTGCAGGGGAACCTAAACAGAGACAGGAGATATGGATTTATTTTCCTACTTTATTTTCTTTATTATTATTATTGTTGTTGTTGTTATTATTATTATTATTATTATTTTTAGAGACAAAAAATGCTCTGTCGTTGAGCTTCAAAATCCTGGGCTCAAGCCATCCTCTGGCCTCAGCCTCCCTAAATATTGGGATTATAGGCATTAACCACCGTGTATGCCTGCCTGCCTGCCTTCCTTCCTTCCTTCCTTCCTTCCTTCCTTCCCTCCCTCCCTCCCTTCCATCTTTCTTCCCTCCTTTCCTCGCTCCCTCTCTCCCTGTTCAGTACAGATGGAACCATTCATTTTTTTCCCTAAATTTTTTCAATCAATGGTTGATTGAATCCAAGGATGCAGAACACACAGATACGAAAGACTGACTGTACTTCATTGTCTACTTTTGAAAAACAAGGTCATTCTTGTACGTAACCACAGTACAATTATTAGAATCAGAAAATTCACACTAATACAATAGAGTTATTTAACCTACAGACTTCTTCCAGATTTACCAGTTGTTCTAATAATGTCCCTAACAGCAAAAGAACATCTTGGATCATGTATTGCATTCAGTTGTCCTGTCTTTAGTTTCCTTTGTTCTGAAACGGTCTTTCTTTGTCTTTATTTCATCAGGATTTTCGAGTAGATCACTTATTTTGTAGACTATTTTTCAATTTTGGTGTTGTCTGATGTCTGCTCATGATTGCATTTGGGGTTTTGCACTTATGGCAGGAATAGGTTGTGTTTTTTAAGATGGCAGATAATAACATGCTGATAGGAATGAAACAATAGAGGGGAAAAGAGAAGAGAGTTGCTGGACAATACTCTTGAGGGGTGGGAGAGCAAGAGGGCTGAGCTCAGTCTGAGGACTGAACCACTGAATTTAACTGGGGATGGATTTCTTTTTCTTTTTTTTTTTGCCAGAGGAATATATGATAGATTGTGAGAGGAGAAAAAAGTTGAGTGGGTATGCCAGGGAAAGGTCATCCAGGGATGGACCAGGTGCATGAGGGCAATGGGGACAAGAAAGAGTTGTTGGCAGAATGGAATATGGGGCCTGGTAGGGCTGAAGAGTCATTAGAGTTGGGGAACTGTAGAAAAGGAGTGGGGTTGGTCATCAAAAAGTGAGGTGCATAAAGTTGTAGCTATTGATAATGAAAATCAAGATTTTGACCAGAGAAATGGGTGATTCAAGCAGGTGGAAGAAAATATCCCTGGATGGAAGGGAGATCAAGAAACAGAAGGGATATGAGGATCATTAGATATGGAAATTATTGGGAATGGTGGCTGAAGTCATGCTGAAAACATGGTAGTGTGCTGGAAGTCAGAACTAGAATCCTCCATAAATGGAAGGAGCTCATTCCGGGAGCTTCCCAGGACCCTGCTGAGTTCTGAGACCCTCTCTTCATTCCACTGAGAGTGGTGTGAGGAAGAGGGAGTGTGTCTTGTTTGGAGTAGCTGGATCTCTGGAGAAAGCTTCTTTTTTTGTTTGTTTAACTCTATGTCATCTGAAAGATAAATGCTGTGACTTTTATGAGTGGTCTAAAATGGAGGATTCACTTTTATTGAAGGAATGGGAACTAGGCGACGAGAAGAGAGCCAGCAACTGTGGAGCTAGGAACACAGAGTGTGAGGGAGCTCTTACTGGGATGTCATGGAGCGTTGGGGTGTTTTTCTACCTAGAGAGAACATGCAGGCTCAGTGAGGCACTGGAGACCCATGTTCCTTCCATTTTTGCACTTAGCCATTCTTGGCATATAATAAGAAAGCCTCGGTTATCTACAGAAATCCAAAAGCTCTATACCACCGGGCCAGCTGCCTTTGCCTTCTGACCAAGCCACCAGTGCTCACTGAAATGTTGGGTTTTCTTGTTCATATTTGAATTACTCTCTTTTCTTTCATCATTTACATGTAAAGAACAGATCATTACATTCTTATCCAGGGTCTATGTCAAAGACTTTGTCGCTTCAAAAACTGTGGAAGTTGGTACAGCTTGTTACAAAAACTGGCCTTATTTTTCTTCTTACCCCATCCATACTTTCCTCCCTCCTTGTCCATATTTTTAAGCCATTTAAAAAAACCCTCCAACTGACCAGAATAGTTTTAACATTGTGTTCAACATAGTGGCAAATCTGTTTAATGTAGTGATATGTAAAATGTGAGTTTCTACCAGGAGAACATTTGCAATTTTGTACCTTTGCAGCATCTGTCTCTCTGTCTTATTTACTTTATTAATAAAACTCTAGAGGGAAACTTTTGGTATTCTTTTTCCCCCATGAGATGGATCTCAATAAGACCGAGGAGGTAATATTGAAACTGGAAAGCCTCCACCAGCAGCCTCTTATCTGGGATTTTCTACTGTTACTGCCAAGACTACACACAAGCCGTGATCATGTGGAAGACGGCATGGATGTTGCAGTGAACCTTCTCCAGACCGTTCTGAAGTAAGTGAAAAAGAAAAAACTTATCTAAGTATTGATATTTTTTTTTACCTTATTTTTAAAATGGGAAATAAAAATTAGTAATTGTTGGATTTAAAAAAACTTCACAATAATGTTACCTTGAAATGACAGGAGCTTCTGCACCTCCACGTCTGTCCCTCATCTGTCTGTGCACATATTTTATATATGGGCAGTGATGTTGTTCAGAGCATGTGCCCCCTGATTTAAAAAGTTAGCGCCATACTTTAATGTTTCATATGTTGTTATAGTTTATAAATGGCCATTTTTAATGGCTGCAGCATATATCATTCTGGTAAAGTACTATATACCATAATTTACTTAATAAATTTGGCATTGTATTTTTGGTTTTTTCTAAGTTTTTCACTGTTAGAGATAGGCTTGAACATAATAATTTCCACTAATTTCTTAAGAAATTATGCCATAGTTGCCCAACATAGCATTCAGAACTGATACGTTCAGTTGCTTCAGTTGTGTAATTCAGTGAGCTGGACATTGGTCTCCTATGCTGGATCTGACCTCCGTGTTACATGGGGTGACCTTTGGGAGCATCCCTTCCCGTGGTGGGCTTCTCATGCTTTAATCAGCATGGCCCTCTTTTATAAACAATTGAATTATTTTGTGTAAACCCATTGTATGAATAATGGGTTTTATTATTTTTCATTAGCAAAGATTTATATTCTTTTCTGATTTTTAACTGTTATTTATTCTATCTGCCATTGGTGAGAGCAACCCACATTGCCCTTAGGCTAGGACAAAAAGGGCCCTGTCCTGGGGGCTATGCTTTGGGGAGGTCCCCACTGTGACCTTCCCCGGACTGTGCCTCAGCTCATGGCTCAGAATGCCCATGGGGTGAAGGAGATGTGTCCACAGAGCCCACACACCCTGATTCCCTCTCACCCTGGAGTTCCCTAGTGTAATGGCCAGAGCCTGGTGAAGCCTCTTTCCTGGCCCCTCCTTCTGAGGGCAAGTCTTACCACTGGACTGTGCCTCCTCCAGCCCAAGGGTAGTCTAGGGATGGCTGTAGCCATTGGCAGGTGTGTAGGGTGGGAGGCATGGGTGCTGTTGGGCTTTGTAGGCTGGAGGACCTACCTATGCGCACTGAGGCCTCTTGAGGTACAGACCAAGCTGAGGATGGGGAGCACATAGGAGAGGAATGGGCTGAAGGCTGGGGCTAGGGACAGGTGCTCCCCAAACTCCCACATTCTGGTGCATAACTCTGAGGATCAGAAAATTCTAAATTTGAATGTAGCTTTCAAAGTTGTTATGAAGATCTATTTGCCGATGTAGGAAAATGGAACATATTTTGATAGTTAGTTAGCTTGATTTATAACTTAAATATTTGAACATATTTGAAATGCTTCCCTTTTTATTCTTGCCCAAAGCTCTGACTGTGTTAGCAGTGAACAATGAAAATAATTGGGCTATTCTGAGAGACACAAAATTTAAAATGAGAAGATACTGATGACAGTTGTTGAACCGTATCAGCTTCAATATAAATTGTATTTCCATATTTTGCTTCAGTGGCATGACATCAAGAAAATCTGCATTCATAGAGACAAGTACTTGCAAGTGGTACCAGGTTTCAATAATATATCTTATAATCCTGGGATACTCTTCAATACACAAAGTTGTCATAAAAGATTTTTCCAGATGAAAATCTACAAGGAAATAATCTGTTTGGAAGCACAGCTTATGATTGTGTTGGTCTCATGTTGCTAAAATGCAGATATATTACAACTTCTGTTGAGTGCATTTTCTAATCTACAAATCTAAGCATATTTACTTATAAAATAAAATATTAGTATTTTAAAAATAAAATTATTATCACGTATATGTAGATTCTCCCTCACCAGAGCTCCTTGTTCTTTGAAAAAGTTTAACAGACACTGATCAACCCTTGACCTATTCAGATCCATAGGTTAAGACAGGGTGGAGGATTGAGGTACATGGTATTGCCCCCCAAATATTAGACTGATTATCTGAACTTGAAGCAGCCAGGCTGACTGTTTATTTGCTTTTCTAACATAGCAGCCTTTTGCACCCTGGTTGGCCTTATCAGCTGCCCTATGGCAGGAAGAATCAAGGCTGAGTATAAAATAACATTTATGGCAGAGCCAATGCAAACTTGAGTTCTGTGTCAAAGGCAGAGTGGAAGATGGCCTAAGTTCTCAAGTGTTTCAAGAGAAGACCTTACCTCTTACATTTAGTTACTAGTTCAGGGAGTTAGGGTCACATTAAAGCCACCAAGAATGCTGACATGTAAATGGTCCAGCCACATCTTGCAACAGCACTAGGGGCCCAGTCCATGGGATGTAAGTAAACCTAGAATTGATGCTACTTGTTTTGCTAACTACCCACTCATATTGCTTTTTGTTTTGTTTTGTTTTGGTTCTAGTTCCTTAATATCCCTAGAAGATTTAGATTGGCTTCCACTCAACCAAACTTTTTCCCAGGTTTCTGAACTTGTATTGAATGTGACCATTTCGACACTGACATTTCTACAGCGACATGGAGTAGCAATCACTGGTATGGGTGCCTTGTAGCTATTGCTATATTTCAAAACGTTTCACTACTTAAATTCATTGACAGTTGACATAGAGCTAAAATGATGTTCGAAATGATTTAATTAAAATTTCAAATTCAAAAAAGAATCAATTGTTTCTGTTAATACAAGACAAAAACAGAATACAAATTTGGAACTCAAAACTGAATTTGACTTTCTATCACTGTTGAAATTCTGCAGTCATTGCTAATATAAATGATATCTGAAAGTTAAAATTAACTGATTTTAAAATTCTTTGACTTTATTTCTTCTAATATTAGACCTATCACTAGTTCTGTGATTTTAATCTTTCCCTTCTCTAAGCTCCTATTGGGAGGAAATATTTTAAAAATGACAAAGCTAGTAAGAGGAGGCAGCTTGATGTGGACTTACAGAGTCCTTAACTAAATAAGCAGCCCTACTACAGGGGAGGGAATGGAATTATATAGCTCTTTTCTTGACCCAGGATATTATTATTTCCTGAATTGCCAACTGAGCCTGAGCATTTTACTTTTAATTCCCTTCTTTTCTCTATTTTTCTATCTTTGGCTGTTTCTTTAAGGAAAATACAGTGAGAGAACAACAAAGTTGGAATTCATCCACTCATCCATTCATCCATCCATTTTTCCATTCATCTGTCCATCCATCCACCCACACATCCATTCATCTATCCATCCATCCATCTGCCTACCCATTCACCCACTAAACAACCCATAAACCTCTTTATACATCTATCCATCAATTCATACATTAATCCATCCATCCATCCACTCACTCATCCATTCATCTATCCATCCATCTACCTCCCCATTCATCTACTCACCAACCCACCAATCCATTGATCTATGCAT